CGTGCGACACGAAAAATAAACTTTGAAATTGAAACCATGACAGGGAAACGGCGCTCTCTCCATCATCCTCATCGTCCTCATCATCATCGTCTTTGGGGTGTTGAAGTGCGTTGCGTTCTGGGAATTGCAGAGCAACGACAACATTAATAAAAAAAAGAAGGGCCAAAAGTGTCGCCAACATTGTGAGTGTTTTTTGTGAGGTTATGAGTGCGGAATGCAAATCAGTGTTGAATGAATGACTGAATCGATGAAATGCAACAACGCACAAAAGTAGGCTAAAAGTATGAAAACTCATTGGGCTCGAAACTTTAATAAATGTTAATTCGTCTGAGATTACGCAAGCCAGCACACAAAAGTTGTACGAAAATTGATTTTTATCGACAAATTCGAGCCCATCTTGTGAAGAGGCAGACAACGAGACAACGGGACAGACTGAAAGGCAGCGCCAGCATAGACAGACTTGCAGATTTTCAGCCAACAAGTGCGCACAAAAGTCTCTGTAGCGTGCCAGACTCATTCGCATCTTGCAGATAAAATCACACACACACACACACCCATACACAACCATTAAGTAAGAGAGATGTGCTACACACACATAGACAGAGACAGCCTTGCCACTGGGGTTGACTCGGCAGCTGATTGCATGGTACTGGCAATTGGCAACTGGCAACTGGCAACTGGAATGGCAAAAATCCCTTAATGATGGTTTCGCTTGTTATGCCAAATGTTTAAAAATTGAATTATCTCCCATTACCGGCGCAGCTAACGAGCGACAGGGCGGCATGTGTGTGTGCGAGTGAGATGAAGAATAAGACGGTAGACGAGTCTGTGGCAGAAACAAGAGGGCTGCAAATATTGCACAGTGGCTACAAATAAGCAGTTGAATATAAATTCTGAAATATACAAAAATATAGTCACTAATGTGTCTGGCTTCCATATATTAATTTATGCACCATCTTCTTCAAAATGTCATTTCCAAAGAAAAATAAACATACTTAGTATAATTATTATATGTATTCAAATATATTGAAAGAGAAATGCTGATTTAAGCTCTAATTGAAATTGTTTTCTATTCACGATTATTTCGACACTAGTTTTGAAAAAATGCACAAGTGTTCATTTCTGGAAGGCGGCAGCTTTTTTAAAAAAAATATTCTTAAGAAACCTGCTTTTAAGGCAAGAGGCAACAAAAATATTATATTTATTATTCATTTTCAAAGAAAATGAAACCTTCAAAATGATCGAAAATTGAAAGGTGACGAGATTTTCATTTATTTGTTTCCTTTCCTGGCGAGATAGTGTGTGCATAGTTAAATATACATTTTTAATTTCAAAACCAATTACTAAGGCATAATATTGCTGTTGAATTGTTTTAATATATTTGTGATTCATGTTGATTCTTCATTGGGAACTTTAATAAGTTATTGAAAAACAATCAAGTTCGAAAACTTTACAAAAATTACTAACATTTTTCAAAATGTTTATCTTTAAAAGGTCCTGTAGCTCCTCTTTAGCAAGAAAATTACTTTATTGATCCATAACCATAACATGACTTGCAAACAAAGCAACAAAATATATTTTAAATTTCTGAAGAAATTTGTTCACATTTTTGCGAATATAGTGCCCACTGTGCAGAGGGTCTGTGTGGCACTCTGTTTGGCTTGCCTGCCTGCCTGCTTGCTTGCGTACTTTTTGAATCAATTTGCCAACAAGGATTTGTTAATCCTGGCTTCCTGACAAGTGCGGTTAGTTTACTTGTTGTCGTTGTTTTTGTTGCTGCTGCTGCATGACGTTTGATGTTGAACTGGCAAGCTTTCAACATGAAATTCTTATTGGCTTTTTTGGACATGCCTGCCCGCACTTCGGCCTCTCTTTCTGCCTGTCTGTGGGTTGTGGGTTGATGTGATGTGCTTTGGGATTTGCACTCGCAACCTAATTGTGCTAATTGCCGGTTGTTGCCCATTGCCACAGAGCATGCTGGACGCAATCCCCCTCCCCATCCCCCTCCCCCTTCTCGAACCATCTCTATTATCGTTGCCATTTTGGTTTTAACTGACAGAGCAGAGCAGAGGAGAGGAGAGTAGAGGAGAGCAGGTCAGCAACCCAACACACTTTCCAAAAACTCTTACGGCAAGGCCTCTGTTGCCAGCATTTGCATTTTCAGCAATTATTGCAACAAAAAATTTGATTACCAAGAAAATTGCCTGCCAGATCGGTCAGAGCTGACAGCTATGTATGTATGATGACCAGCTAGTGAGTGCACGTAGACAGGCTCATTGACTCATTCAATTATGTGCATGTACATATGTGTGTGTGTGTGTGTGTGTTGACATTCATATCCTGATCTGTGTCCCAAAAGCACGTAATTAGCAATGGGCGTGCCTAATGGTCGGTTAAGTGGCTGTGTCGCTGCAGGTTAAGGGGCTTTCAAAGCCTTTATTTTAGCCATTTTTGGGCCGCACCTGTTCAACAATCTCTAATTATTTTCATAATAAAATATTTAATGAGACATAAATGTTTAATGCACAACATTCCGAAAGAAGCAGGCCAAGAGACACTTTGTTAAGCTTACCAGTAGCAGCAGAAGAGTTGCGGATTGGGGGAGTTGGGGATGAGGGGCAGAGAGCGACGAGGGGGAGAGCAACAATAAAGCAGACTAACTAAGTCGAGAGCTGTTGGCAACGCAAACAACATTAGTGCGCATTATATGTGCTCTCTGGGGAATCAGAGAACGAGCGAGAGGAAGAGGGAGCGAGCAAAAAAAGGGAACATGGCGTAAATGAGCAACGAGAACGTAACAGAATTTTTCTAATCGGATTACGCAGGGCTACGAAAAAGTTGACACACAGCCAAAGCTTAAGTGAGAGCGCAAACAACCCAAAAATAGCAGAGGAAGAGAGCGAAGTTGTGATGGGAGGGAAGGGAGCGGGAACTGAAGCTGAAGTGGAAGTGGGAGCGCAGAGAAGTGGAAGTGTAAGCGCACAAGAAATTAAAATTAAATTTTGCAATTTGCCAGCTAATTATTTATTTAAAATCAAATTGAAAATTAATTTTACAGCAAGCGTCGAGGGCACCAGACCGACCGACAGACCGACAACTGGACAGAATGACAGCTGAACAGACTGAAATACTGACAAAAAGTAAGCCAAAAACAGAAGCTGGCTCGTACGGGTATTGTGCAAGAGAGACGGCCATGTTGTGAAATGTTCCTTTTTGCCTTTTTCCTTTTTTGGGGTCAAGTGCGGCTGTCAACGCGTCCTTCTCAGCGTCGACGTCGTGACGAAACTTTGCCTGTGCATGTATGTGTGTGTGTGTGTGTGTGTGAGGGCCACACTCAAAGGCAGTTATAAAATATTTGCAGTATACAAAATGGCGCTGCTGCTAGAAAATTCAATTAGCTTGCAATTTGGCAACAGCTGCCTTTCACAAGCATCTCCAATGGACGCTTTGGGGCACCACTTTGGGGCAGGGGCTGACTGGTTGTAAGTTGTTGAAATTTCTGGCTTTTTCGCCAATTTTGTGGGCAAAGAAAATGGGCGGAACATTGATTATATTTTGCACAAGTAGCATAAGAACTAATTACTCGTCTTACAAATAGTTCGAGAGTAGGTAATTATTAATGTTTTAATAGTTCGAGAAGTTACATTCAACATAAGGTAGTGGAGTAAATATTTTGTTTATTTATTTAAAATCAAAACTAATTGAAATGTTAAACTTGAATGGGAACTTTTATAAAAAATCAAATGATAAAATATCTAGGGAAAACACCAAGTTGTTATTCTTCTGCCACAGGTATTCATTGATTTTTAAAAACTTTAACAAGTTTTCCGGTTTTTTTTTTGTGTGTCCTTTTTGATTTTTGTAAATAGCACTTCTTTCTACTTTAAATTAGGAGGACATAGTACGAGTCTTAATGTTGAAATGCTGCAAAAAAACACGAAATTGTCTAACAATCTAAAAACTTATAATTCTTAAATTGTCCATCGACTTTTTTAAAAGCTATTTGAAACTAAACTATGCTCCTATGACTAGGGTTTTAATATCTTAAAAATGTGTAAATGTACATAATTCCCTATATAAGAGTTTCAAAGGCTGCATATTGGCTTTTTTCTTTTAATATTTAATTAATATATTTCATGCTGCAATCTTCAATCAAACACAGTTTAAAGCCTTCAATCTTAATAAACAAAAAACATTATTAAGAAGCAGATGCGCCTTATATGGGTTCTTCTATACTTTTAAAAAAAGAGTACGTTCCCTTTAGCTATAATAGCCTCAATTTAAAATAACTCTTTCTGCTAACAAAATAGAGTTATTAAATAATGTATTTTTAAAAAGAATTAATGGTAATCAAGAAGATGTTAATTATAAAAATAGAATTATAAGAATAGGCTCTTTATGTATTTTAAAAAGAATTAGTGCTAATCAAGAAGATGTTAATTATAAGAATTGGCTGTAATTAAATTGGTAGTGCTTAGCCTTGAATTCTGCAGACAACTACTGGCTGCTGCCTGCTCTTAAAATATTTCCAAAATATTTAGCCGAATTGCCAACAAAAAATTGGCGTCTCGTACTCAACTGATATTTATAAAAATATATAGCCGATTTAAATGCTTGGAAATGTCTAGGCATAATAAAAAAAATTACAGCTAAGCTCACAAAACTTGATTAAACGATGCTACTAAGCTTAACCAGTTATACTTAATACTAGTTGTAGTTAATCTAAATCTTTAGCTTAACTCTACAGTGAGGCTGCCACTTAACAATGGCTTACCCCATTGTTGTTGTTTCTGTATCTATGTTGTATTTTTTCTGAGTGTAGACAGACTTAAGTCAAAAGCGCCAAAGGCAAGCAGCTTAGCGTCGCTTATGCTGCACATTCCTACACCTCTCAACACATGGTGGACAAGCAACTGCATTTGTATTCAATTATGCCAACTAATGCCCTCTAGGGGCAACACCTCAGAGCCGAAGCTAATGTTGCCTCCGTTTACTTGCAGATACCAGCTACTCGTATCATCCTGCCATACACGATGAGACTTTTGTGCGGCGCAAGCAGCGTCGCAATCGCACGACATTCACTTTGCAACAGGTAAGAACTACATGCGGGTCTTAGCCAACTAGTATATTCGTAGTAGTTTCAATTTTTAATGTGTTCACGCTTCTCTTGTGCTTATCTTTTTGGGGGCAGCTGGAGGAGCTGGAAACGGCATTTGCACAAACCCATTATCCGGATGTATTTACACGCGAGGATCTCGCCATGAAAATCAACCTAACGGAGGCGCGTGTGCAGGTGAGCGCAAAGTAACTGTGATTCCTTCTCTTTTGTATGCAAAATATGGAAAGAACAAGAAAGGAAATTTAATTTGCCCTCGGCAGGCAGCGTCCGAAAAAAAGGTTTAGGCATTAAGTGGAAGAGTGAAAGCGCAACGCAAAAAATGAAATACAATTTATGTATGTATATATAAAAGTTCATAAATTGTATCAAGTTTCACCCGGGCAGGGGCATTCAGGGGCAGTCACGGACACTGATCAAAGGTAGCAGAGCGGCTACGTGAGTGAGTCCTGGCACCCCTAGCCACCCTTTTGACCCGGCCAGTCCTTGCCAGTGCGTCCTCAAAAATCAGTTAGCCGCATCTCTCACGCTCCTGCTCAGCTCTATTAATAATGCATATGCATAGTAGACTTGAATATATGTACGTGTGCGTGTATATATGTATGTATATTTTATTATATATACAAGTATGTATGTGTATATAATGCAATAACTGCTTAAAAAACATTGTATATGGCATACATTTTTGATGATGTGCTGCGAAAGTAGAAAATATGTAAAGTTGTTAGGCAAGCGTGGCCAAAAGGCAAGCAGGCAGGCTTTTTGTTCTTTCCTCTCTCTCTCCCTCTCTCTCTCCCTCTCTCTTCAGTCAGTCTTCTTTTTCAATCTACCGTTAGAAGAAACTTACAAGCTTACAAACAAAAAACGATGATGAAAAAATATGGCAATGCAAAAGCGAAAGAGGTTGTAGGGAAAGCCCGTTTAAAGCAGTGAGAAGTGCAGAGAATGGCTTTTGTTCAAAGAAGAGAATTAAGAGAAATGAAAAATCAATTAAATGCCAAGTTCCTGAGCTATGAGCATTTTAAGAATGAGTCGTAAATATCGCATGAGTTAATTGACAAGCTTAGTAGTCTAAAATTATAAGGAAAATAACGTGATTTTCAATAACAAATCAGTTAATGTATAGACGTGGTTTGTGGATAAAACTGCAATTAAAAGTTGATAACTTTTTAAAGCAAATAAATCATTTCCAATACATTTTCAGTAATAGTAGTAGTAGGAGCTGTGTGTGGATAATAATGCAATAGACAATTGATGATTGCTCACTCATATACAAGTAATCTTAAATATTTAAGTAATGTTTGTAGAACAAAGGGATTTTTGTCAGAGACATGCTCATATTTTATTTTTATTTTTTTGTATTAGCAGATTATTTTTGTTTAAAAATGTACATCGTGGACAACAGTCGGCCATGCAAATAATTTGCAGAAATTTATATTGTTCTACAAGTTGTCTTTGAAAGTTCATATTGGATTTCATAAATATACCAAAACATTAAGCATATGCTAGAGAAATTCGATAAATTTGTGTGCAGATTGTTTGCTTGTCTGAGCATAACTTTAACATTTCATTTATAGTAATTCCACCTTAGCTATTGACGGAACTGAACAGCCAGTCATAAATTTAGCTTTCGCCCAATCAAATGCAGTGACACATTGAAATTAATGGCACAATGGGAATTGTGTGTCTATTTTGTCAAGAGTCGCATGCAAATTAAGTCAGAAAAGTAAAGTATAGTTGCACAAATTGGAATCATTAGCAATTCGAAATTCGCACTCAACACTCACTACTCACCACTCAGCGGTTTGTGTGCGCGCTACATTTGTCAGATTAGTGCACGGAAACATGACAATTAACGGATCTACTTCCACACACACACACACACACACACACACACACGTGCACACTCCACACAGTCAAGATGTTGCACTTCGGCACGTTGCAATCGTCGCGGCGGCATTCACACCCACACAGAAAAGTGGCAGCAACAACTACCAGCGCATTGGGCAAAGCAAATTATGCACAGCAAGTTGCTAATGAGGATGCGACGCTAACTAGACATAAATACATATATACAAGTATATATCCGTACCCACATTATACAAATACATGTACGAGTATGAGTTGAAGACACACTCACAGGTGGGGCAGCTGGCTATTAAAAACACTTTGGTGATGTTGGCGTTGCGGCCTCAGCTATTTCCGGCACAATTAGCAGGCCGTGTGGCAAGTGGCAAGTGGCATGACAGCCCACAAGCCTGCGATTGAATTACGTCAGAGAGCGAGAAGAGTGGAGGAGGTGGAGCTGGTATGAAATATTCCCACACACGCACACACACAATCAATTTGACACTTGATACTTTGAATTTAATTTGAAAGCGTGCCGTAATGTAAAAAAAAGAAATAGGAAAATGAAAACAAAATGCTTGTCAAATGTCGGCCAACGGGACACTTGTCGCAAACACGTGTACTTGTCAGGCTAACGAAATTAGCCAACCACCCAGAAGAAGTTGCACAAAAAACACCACACACACCCAACCACCCACAGCCGAACTCACAAACCCACATAACTGCCAATTGTCAGCTGCTTTGCGACTTCTGCCAGCGAACCACCGCCAGTTAAGAATTCTGCAAAAAAAAAAAAACAAAAAATGAAGTGAAAAACAGCATTTTGAAGCCAAAACAATTGGCCTCCCTCTCCTCCCCTTGTGGAGCCTGACCATTTGTCTGGCTCAGACGGGGATTTCGATAATGGAATGAATGCCAAATGTTTTGATGAGGGTGCTGCGTGGCCGCCACAAGCTGGCGACCACATTTTGACACATTTTCTTTGTGTTTGGTATTCAGGCCGTTGGTAAAAAGCAAATGCGGAAATAAATTTTATAATAAAATTTATTATGTACTCCACTCTGTCCGCCTGTCTGTCTGTCTGTCTATTTTCCCGGTCACTTGGCATACGTAGTACTCGCATATTGTGTAACCTGATATATTTTCTCGACTGTCAATTTTTTGATGCTCTGCGTCTGTTTCTTAGACAGACTTTCTGTCACGGCGCATTGCCACTCGGCACAAAATCATTTACTTAATGTATCAAAGCCTAAGCTATGCGAATTGACAAGTCGTGGTTTTTCAATTATTTAGGGGGGAATATACGCATTTGGCCATACTGCCAGCCAGTGCTTTTTACTCCTACCTGCGGTTATTTTGGGAAAACTCTGTCGCTTTACATCTAATAGAAAGTGAAAGCAGTTGCTTTGTTTTGATCCGTCAAGAGAACAAATACATTTTATTACAGTTTTGACTGAATGGGCAATTATTTGAAAGATTTCATTCAATTCAATGAGAAGTATTTGAGAATAACAAGCTAGGATACACACAGCTGAATCAGGTTTTAATGCAGCATTCGATAAACAAGTTCAGTTTTTTTTTTTAGAGAAAAATCATTACACATTAGACGAAGCTGTGTTAAAAGCTTCTAAAGAGCCTCAATCGATAACTTCTAAGGATAATACCTCATATTCTTTTTAATGTCTAGTCTAGCAAATATGCTAGTTTTATCACAAAATAAGAATGTCTGTATTTAAGAGCCCCTAATGAAATATAATACTTGTAAACTCTATTTCGAACATGGAAGACGGGGCAGCTTTTCTACTTACCTTCGATTATGGTTTTTGGTTTTTGTGCCCATAACCTAAATGGTTCCAGTATTCCCCATCCGTTAATTGTTTCCATAATAGTTAGTGCACTTGTTTTAGTTTGCAGATCTGGTCTCACTTCTTCGATGAATCTCACGAATGCATGTGGTTCCTTAATTAATTGGGATTCAGAGCCAATAACGATCGATTCCTGTTTGTTAACATCAAGCATAGCGACTCTAAAACAAGCAAATCGGATCAAAAATTACAGTTATAGAAACATTTTAAGTATATTTCGAAAGAAAAAATAAAATTTTTAATAAAAAAAATTTACTTATTTTAAGAGGAAATACCGAATAGCTGCAATATTCGTATATCGACATTGTTTCAGTTCCAGAAATATGCTTTATAGTCCCTACTTAAGGCTGAACAAATAACACTAATTCTGTTTTTACACGCTCTTTGATTTAACACGGTTTGAAAATTCAAAATTTTATGTATGATTACACGACTTTATTGTATTTAAAACGATTCAAAATAACTATTCTTATATGGGTCGTTATGCACATTATATATGAGATGAAACATAAATACTTGATTTTTCACTGATTTAAAAAGGGTTTTAGGGAATCATATGCATATGATGAATGTATTTTGAGCACGTTTCTTTTTACACTACTTTTTCTGGAACCAATCTACCGTGTAAACACAAAATTATGATTAGTTAGGAGCTGCGACACAGACTTCCAAAAGAAATCTCCTCCTTTCCAAGCAATCCCCAATCTTATCTTGGATTGCTACTTCACAATAATTTGTTTATTTTAAGGCGAAATCCAAATAGCTGTAATATTCGTATTTCGGCATTCATTAAGTTCCAGAAATTTACTTTATAGTCCCTACTTAAGGCTCACCAAATAGTTAGCATATACGCCACGGACTCCCAGAAGAAATCTCCTCCTTTCAAAGCAATCCCCACACCCCAATCTTATCTTGGATTGCTACTTCACAATAATTTGTTTACGGTCGCAACACAAAGCGCTGGCGGCGACAAAGTGTTCATAATTTCGAAAACAATGAGCTGTGTGTGTGTGAGTAAACACACATAGAGGACGGCCCATGAAAACATTGCGGTTACAAGTTACAGAAACCGATTTGCCATGAAAATGAAAACAAATAAGCAAACAGCAGGCGCACACATAATGCAAATAAAAGAGGAAACAAAGTTGTTACAACAAAGAGGAAACAATGCTGGCGAATAAAAAAGGTAAACACCACCCGGCTGGGCAGCTCGGCGGGTCGGGTCGGATCGGATCGGATAATTATGGCAAGTGCGCACCATTAGCTTCCGCAAATAAGTAAGAAACACTCAAAGCAAACACCCAACGATGACGAGGACGAGGAGGAAGAGGACGATGATGACGGCGGGCGCAGTTCAAGTGGAATGAATGAACAGATGTGTTAATATCAAACGCATTTGGCAACCCTTTGCAGCGGCCGCAGCAACAATAATTGGGCTACCGCAACAGCAACACCCCTCCGGACCAGCCCATCGCCGCCGGCAAACATATGCACGTCCTCGTACTTCGGGAGCAGCGGCGCAGCCATCAACTTGGATCAGCATTAAAGGATTATTCGAGCAAATGCAATTATTTGACGGCGCGCCAACCCCTTTGCCTCCACCCTGCGCCATATATCAGAGGTCGCTGCTACCAGTCGACACACATACATACAAGTATGTATGTACGAGTATATCGCGGCTGCAGCGTCTTAGCAGGCGATTTTGGGTGGCTGCGGTTTGTCCTTTATGCTGGCACAAACGCTGGGCGGCTCTGTGATTATAATAAATTATCAATTATTGGTATTATACTTGTATGTGCATATAAGTATGCGCCTGGGCATGTGGATGTGGAGTGGGTTACAACAAATTTTGGGGCGGCTTGCCTGCCAGCGTGGGTGTGCCAAAGGAAATTGTCATTATGGGTGATGCAGCAACACAATGCTAAACGAATTAGCTGGCAGTTATAGAGAGAAGAACGAGCTGAGGGTGACAGAATTATGAAACACCACTCTATACTATAAAAGTACACCCAGCGATTTAAATTTTTTAAGAATATTCAATGAGTTACACAAGTTGTAATTTATATTTGTGGAGCAGAGAAAAAATTTGCTTAGATGTCCTGAAGTGCACAATTTGTCGCGTTCAATGGGTTTTTCCAAATATTTGTGTGCCCAGCTTAATATTTTATTCAGATTTCTATTATCGATAACTTAAAAGAAAAGCTATTTAATATTTTCAATCCTATATCAGAAACATTTTAGCTTCCTTGAGCAATATCTGAATTTTTAACCTTAGTGCTGACACTCTTAATTAGCGACTCATCAAAACGCCTGTTAAGTTCGCCAAATGTTTTCACTAAGCAATAGTTCTGGAACCATTTTTGAAATTTTTCTCATATTTATCGTTTCATTTTAATTCAATATTTTTCGATTGGTCTTAGCTTAGGACAATCATTTGTTATCAATATTTAGAATATTTTCGACGTACCACTTCAATACACTCTTGACAAAATGAGTTGGCCTTATGAAATTGGTGGATACTGTTATGCTTAATTGGGTTCGTCCCTTGTGATGTATTCGATTTATGCTTTAAGCAATATCAACGTTTTTTTTTTTTTATTATTAGTCTACTTTGATTATTTTATCAACACAACTGTTTGTCTAAAAGACCATACACATTACTATTGAAAACTTGGGCCCTCCTATTACCTTGAGATATTTTTCATATGTCCAAGACTGTCAAATAAACTAAACTCCAATAAAGTAAAAAAAAAAAAAAACATACACATGTAATGAATATTGAAAATCCATGCAAACACAAGTATGTCAATATAGACAGATATTAATATCTGTGCCTGAAAAAATAAAACTTTAACGATTGCTTTCCTGCAGCAAATTCTGTGCTTAGCAATGCTTAAATATAATGAACTATGAATCATACAAATAATGAATAAGCAAATGTAATAAGATGTTGTAAATATTTTAATATGATTTTAAACTTAACATAAAAGTGCCAATAAAATTTGAATATGAAACCAATTTCCAGCACAAGACTCACAGGCGATTAAAGCCGCGCCCCTAAAAGTATGCAACATCTTGTCAAAAGCCAAAAGCCAGCCATTCAATTAAATATGCAAAATTTGGCTCTTTATTTATGCAACAGAAAATCAATTACTGGAGCTATGGCTCCACTGCAGAGCAATATAATTAAGCCTCTGTATAGCAGGAATGTGCAAAAAACCTTCAACGGGCGCGCATCTGACTCAGCACGTAGCAAGGGCAAATAATTATATTCAAGCAATCAAGAAACTAAACCAAGCGAATTGAATAAATAAGAAACACCGACAAGCAAGTTAGGGGGGAAGAGGCAACGGTAGCGATAATAAAACAAAGCAAAATTGTGCATGAAATTGTTATTGAAGAAGCACACACACACACACACACACCATCATACACATACATAGTATATGCTTCTGTTCGTGCACAATTGTTTTTCATTATTCAATTTTTGTCATAATGATGAAGCAACGAAGATGAATTCAAAGCCCTTCCCCTTCCGCTCTCTGGCTGCTCCAGGCATGCGAAAACGAAGAAAAAGTCTGGCCATATTTTATTGGTAATGTGCTTATGGCATAAATATTGTATTAAGTAACTGGTGGGCGTCACCACCAACAACAAAAAATGGTGAGGGCGACTGGCGAACAGAGGTATGTACTATATATGCGCCTCCCCTGGCCCTTGGGGGTTGACTGCGAATTTTTACGAGTGCGCATGTTAGGCAGCCAAGCAACCACCCACACACTCCTCACACACACACACACATACACACACACACGTACAGAATTTATTGTTTTTACTTTGTGGGTTGGCGCAGTTTGTTAGTTGAGTGTGTATTGTGTCTGGGATCTCTTGGTCTCAACATGGCGCCTGTTGCCTGGAGGCGCAAAATGTTGAAATTGCTTTATGCTGCGTTATGATTACAACAATGGGCGAGCGAACTTTTGCGCAATGTCTAATTTGAATTTTGATTAGGAAATTTACTTACACACATACCCAGAAGAACGGTAGCGAGATGGAGCGAGCGAAAAAGGTGAGGGGAGAGAGAAGGAAGCTGGGAAGCCAAGATGGCGCCGACAAGGCAAACACGAGTGGCTGTGGCTCGAGTACGTGTGTGTGTGTGTGTGCTTTTTGCTCTAACAAATCCCATTAGGGCGCGCGCTCTAAGCATGAATCAGCGTAACCGGAACTAAAAGCAAACAAGAAGCAACAAAAGTAACGAAACACACGCGCATAAGAATGTGGCAAAGCACTGGAGTTGGGGCTGACAAAGCAGGAAGCATTGTCTTCTTGATTGAAGCTCATTAGGGCGCCATGTGTGTGAGCCTGAGTCTGAATCTGTTTGTGTATGTGTGTGTGTGGCAACCCTCCAGACAGTCAAACAGACAAAGAGTCGTTCAATTTAGGCGCTGATTACAAACCAAATTTGTTTTGTGCTTTGTCAAATTGAAAATCTGATTTTATTTGTTTATGTTTTAGAAAATTTGCCGAAGAGCTGCTTAGCTTGAGACTCTCTTGCCGCCCTGCCAACAAATTGTTAAAGTTTGTGAGGTGGAAAATTGCGTTTATTGTTTTGCCACATCTCGTATGTGTGTGTGCGTGTACGGGTTTTGTAAGCAAAAGTTTTCCAATTTCATATTGGCTGCAAGCCAAACTTGCCCCCATAACATAAATAATAGACATGGCATAAAAACAATTTACTAACTTCTCCTTCATTTCTTTCTCTTTCTCTCCCCCCTCTTCCCCCTTTTTTTCATTTCTCAAACAGGTTTGGTTTCAAAATCGACGCGCAAAATGGCGCAAAGCCGAACGCCTTAAGGATGAGCAACGAAAACGTGAAAATGGCGAAAGCACCAGTTCATTAGATAAGGTAAATATCAATATTAATATATTAAATAATTTAAGTTTAAGGCTGACTTAAAATCTATGCGTACTGGGTAAAGAAAAAAGTAAAGAGAGATCACAAATTGTAGTGGTTAGTTTGCTAAGACTAAGACCTAAAACCATCAAAAAAGGATGATCTAAAGTTCTATAGGCGGCCAGATTCTGCTTAAATTTGAATTTGGCTTGCCCTCGAAAACATACAAAATCGAACTGGCATCAACAGTGTTTTTAAAAATAGTGCATTTACAAATTAAGGAGACTTCCAAATGCAGAACTGTCTTTGCGGAAAGGCAAAAGTTAGAAAAGGACTTTCAAATTAGTGGAGTGTGGAAACAATTAATATTTAGAAACTGGTAAAGACTTTTTTTCAGTGCCTCAAATTTGTGTTCAGCATTCAAGAATAGAGTAAGAAAATTAGGAAATAAGGGTTTCAATTCAAAATATATACTTTTTTCTTGACCTGCAAGGCACGCAGAATAGAGGTTGTTTATTATATGAAATTTATAAATAGAAATATACTTTAAATACACAAAATCGCGGCTTTCAAACAGGCACCGTGTGTCGGCTAAAAACAGCAATAGGGAACGCAAAATTTTACGCAAAATCTTATTATAGCTTAGAAATCAGAGTTCTTTGGAAATTATGCAAATAGAAAAAGGCATTCCTAATTAATCACATTTCTCATCACATTTACTTTATACATTTGTCGACTATAATTTCCCTTTTCCCAGCTTCACGACTCTCGCGAGTCCTCGCCGGATATAACCGGAGAAATTGACGATGATATGGACGAGCTGGCGCCACGTCAACGCTCGCACAGTCCGCTAGCCAATGGACCCATGGATCAGCAGCACTCGCGTAGTCCACACGGCGGTCTGGACTCGAGCGACAACGAGCGTCCGCTCTCCTCCACTCAGCTGACAGCTACACATTCCGCTTCGCAATCGTTGGGCTCCATTAGCGCGGGTTCCCCGTCGCCAGGCGTGCGGGAGCACACGCCACTGGCCAGCATCGGGCAGCCGAACAGCCCCTCGAATTCACGCAACACCGACTCACCCATCGAGGTGGGCGGTCCAATGTCGCTCACAACGAACACACGGCTCACAGCAGCCTCCTCGAACAACAATTCGGCCTCCTCCACGCCCACACCTACAACGCCGCATGCCGCCCATTTGCCGCATACGCCGAGCAGCGCAGCGGCGGCGGCGGCCTTTGGCAGCCACATTTTTGGCAGCTTCGGCAGCGCCAGTAGCGTGGGCGCAGGCAGTGACACGTAAGTACACTAAAAACAATAATTTAATAATGTCTACAATCAAAAATTACTTAGTTGAAATTTGTGAAAAGATGCAAATATTTATCGAAGTAGGCTTCATGAATTTACATAAATCGGTGCAACATTTTCCTAATAACATAAAGCCATATACTTGAATGAAGTTCATCTTCCAATTAATGAAAACAAATAAGGATCATTTGAATTATTCAGACTTTAAAAAGAGTCCAAGAAATTTGTGCAATTTTGTTTGTTCAACACTTAATTGGGATTTTCTTCTAGGGAGAGTCTTCTAGTAGACCTAAATAGGCCTTACAAACAAAATTTTAAAATGAGGAATAATAATTTAGGAATAATAATAACATAAAGCCATATAATTGAATGAAGCTAATCTTCCAATAAATGAAAACAAATAAGGATCATTTGAATTATTCAGGCTTTAAAAAGAGTCCAAGAAATTTGTAAAATTCTGTTTTTAAGGCCCATTCTAGTCTACTAAAAGCCTCTCCCCTAGAAGAAAATCCCAATTAAGTGTTGAGTACACGCTTGCAACCCAGGAATTAATTAAATATTCCATTCTAGTCTACGAGAAGACTCTCCCTTAGAAGAAAATCCCAATTAAGTGTCATAAAATATTAAGAAAAGTGCGTTTTCTCTGGAAACAAAGGAATGTCAATTCCTCGATGTACCCAGCATATGCAAATAGAATAGAATAAAGCTTTCTATTTAAAATTAATACAAAGAATATACTCAGACATGCTTTTTGCTCGTATATGTGATAGGAAAAGTGTTTGTAGCTTGACTCTTGAAAAAATAGACATTCCAGGACTTGTGTTTTAATCTTTTTAATATAGTTTAAGCTTCAATTTTGAAATTGAGAGATTTCTCAATTATTTTCGCTAACAAATTTACTTCAGTTAGAAAAAAAACAAAACATAATTATCTATATGGGCCTAAAAATTAAGGTGCATCTCTACATCTCTATTGAATTTGATAAATGAATAAAGAAGTAAAAGAGTATTTGAGAAAAACACAAATTCCAGATCATAGTTGAAAATTTTAACTAAAACTATATTTAGAAAAATTGTAACTAGAACAACCTATTTGGTGTCCCAACTTTGTGTTTCATAAACTAAAAAGTATTTTCTCTGCCGTTTTCATATTGCTCGTGAAATTTCCAATAAATGAACCTGAAATTTATATTTCATATGTATGGAAAATATTTACTTATTTTAAAGTATTTAAAAGTAATTGTAATGAAGGAATTAAGGAAACAAATAGAAATGTCCTCAAGCATTTGTAAATACACATCTCATGACAAATATTGCATAAATAATTTCTGAGTGTATAGACAATATTTTCTCAGACATATCGGCTGTAAAGACAAAGCTGCTCATTCGTGCGCTGTTCCGTTTGCTGATTAGGAACTTAGGGGCTCGCTATATCGACGCACGTGCCCATCAATAGCTGCATCATTAGCGTTGGAGTCAGAAGTCGGGTCAGACTAGAGAGCTGACGTTTGGCGCGCACTCTTAATGTTTCCGCTGCGCACACGACTTCCGCTGACCGGAAGTGCGCCAATGGAATTTAAACGTTTTCATCCAAAACATTAAGTAAAACGCCTTCCGTTTCAAACGCCTGCTCAATAACCCATAGCGTCCTTTAGTTCGTCTGTTATCATCATGCCTTATTGTTATTGTTGTTGTTGTCGACTCCGCAGGAGTTCCGCCTTGCCATTATTCTTGGCCAGCCACCCACATCCACCCACCCGCTAATGTCATTACTGCTCTCATTGTGGTTGTCTGCTCTATGCTCCCCATATACTGCAGTATTCTGTGTTTTGATCTGATCTGCTTTGCTTCCACATCCACGTCCACGTCCGCCTCCTCACTCTCATAATCAATTGCTAATTTAGTCATCGTCGCCAAATTTTTACACTGCCCGCACCCACTTAGGGGTGATATTTGTCGTCGCATTTCGCCCTGAGATTTGTAAATATTTGCTCGGAAAATTGTTTGGGGGTTGTTTGTTAGCTCGTTTGTGTTGCTTACATGTTTTCTGCTCTTCTGATTTTGTAGCAGTTGTTTTTTCCTTGTTGTTGTGAAATTGACGACAAAATGCGACACTTGCCATAAATTTATTGTTTGTTTGCCTAATGCCTTTGTAAGTGGAAGCTTAATGACACGCAAACAATTAGCCGATCGTTGAATTTAATTGTTGTCCTGCTTTCTATGCATATGCCAGGGGAACGTGGCGGGGTGCGACCCAATAGGGTGACAACGATATCCCGCAAGCTGCTGCTTTGGCAACTGTTCACTGAAATAGAAATTAAGTTTTCGAAATCATAGTTGTGCCGATTTCGATTCAAATAATCGTAGAATTTGTGCGTACCAAGTCGCAAGAATTAGTTCAAATATAATGTGAGTTACATTTGAGAATCCATTGTTCTTGATTCTATCATTCTATTCATTATCAAAATCGAAGATATTGGTGTTAGAATGATAATATTTAGTGGAAAAATTGCTTAAATATCGTAGAAACCTTAGAAGTTGTTTAGCGAATGTTTCGAAAACTCTCACTTATATTTCAAATAGTTGTTATAAAGATTATACTTGTAGTTAAGGCAACACAACAGTCATCCAATAATAATATTTCCAGCCTCACTTTATAACTTTCCAATTGTCCCATTTTCCTGATCTATCAATAGTTCGTCCACCCGCTATAAAAAGGATACACAAGAAATCAATTCATAAGCACACTATCTCATATCCGTACGACTATGCTACAAAATGTGGATATGACAGGCAATTGTGAAGGCATTTTTAATACTAATATTATAATTATTAAGCGAAATCAAAAACAAATTTACAAACATTCCATCAACCTTGAACTTTTTGCATGAGAACTCGATGCTTTATGGGCAATTTTTCAAAACATAAAGTCGGGAAGAAAATCCAATTAATTCTTGACATCTCTGCACAGTGAAAGCTCCTTTAATGGACACATCTTTTATCCAGACACTCTCTTCGGCGAACAGTTTTTCTAAAACATTCGATCGGTGTATTGTATCCCCTTAAGCAGAAACTCCTCTTGGACAACAATTGGGTCCGTGAGTGTCCGTCCTAGTGAGTTTTCACTGTATATGTCTTAGATAAGAAACGCACTGATAAAGCAAAACGGTTCTAAAATCTCCAAATCTATTCCTGCGCTTATCTTATAAAAGTAATTCAAACAAGATTTTAATATTCATTTTTATACCTATTCACGTAAAAAGCATAAGTATCCCATAGCATATATATAGAGATTCATTATAAAAGTGTTTGTTTTAATACTTTTTAGCATTCCATAACACAATTTGATGCAAGTCTAGAAATATTTGCTTTATATCGGCTGAAGTGAGGAACTAACTGTTTGGCTTAAAACCACAGCCCATAAAAAGCTACTTGAAAATGTAATTGGGCGTAAATGAGGGTGTTTCGTATGCCCTATCAGAGTAACCATATGCCGCGGCGCTCTTTTGGCACAAGGGCGGCAGAGACTGGGCCCAGTGGGCGGTCTCATCAGTGGCGCAATCGCTCATCGGGCGGCCCAGCTCATTTGATGGCCTTACATGTCAATGCGCCCGAACAACAACAAACAGCACACCACCACAACAACAACAACAACAATAAAAGAACAGGATATATAATAGCGCAGCAGTTGAATGACAAAGGCAAGTGGGTGAGCCAGAATAAATAATAAAAAAATAAAAAATACGAAGACAACCCACTGAGCAAAAAAAGGACACATGCTGCTGAATCATGGCAAAGGCTGATTGTTGTTGTTGTTGTTGTTGTTGTTTTGCTGTGTGTTGTAACGGTTGACCGAATCGACTGTAATATAAGTGCCTTAGTTTATGCATGCACTCAGCTTTAGATATCTTTTGATATTGTTATTCAAATGTGTGCGAGCAACGGATATCCTGCGTGTGTGCGATCTCAAGTCAAGCGTTTCATCGCAAGCATTTATCATCGCATTAGCCATGCACACACACACACACTCTCTCTCTCTCAATCTCTCATTTGCCATATTTTATGCAAATTAATAGCAAAATATATCAATCAGCAGAGACAAAAAAAAAAAACAGACAGTCACACCCAATTCAATTCCAATGCTGACGTCAAACAGAGTAGAAACAAGTCGCTCAACAACACATATTGCGGCTGTGCATTATAATTGAGCGATATGCCAATAAAAACAATATTCACAACAACAAAAGTAATAAGAAATCAATGCACTTGACACACATTGCATGCTAACGACGGAGAAAACATCAACACTCTCCTGCTCTTTCGATTTGTGTCCATTGTCTCGGCTTGCAGTCCCATCTTCAACTTGTTTCCACACTTGCAAAACCTGAATTGCCAAAAATTATGCAATCCTTCAAAAAACAAGGAAAAACGACTTAAACCTTAAAGTCTCGCCGGCCCTTGTATGACTTGCATTCTCTTCGCTCCCCCACTTCAACTAAAATGTTATTGCACGAATTGTTTTCATAACAGCCAATCATATGGCTTAATGCCTCGATTTTGATAAAACTTCAGGCTATGGCGAGTCAGCTCAAAAAACTCATTAAAAAATATTTTGATTGAGATGTTTGCGCTAAACAAAACAAAGAAATACAAAATTTATTTCCGATATTTTTGTAGACAAAAAAACTATCATATTTGGAATGATAATGACACCGATCGTTCCTATGAAAGCTACATAAAATAAGTTTTCTATATTGAGTCTGCAATATTCTTGTAATGCATACGATTAAGACAAGTCTTCATAATGTAGTTGGTCGCCCTAACTGTTGTTTTAAAAGTTATCAGTGTTCATACGGACAGACGGTTTATGAGACCGATCGTTCCCTATGAAAGCTATATAAAATAATGTCTCGATATATAATCTGTAATTATCTTGTAATGCATATGATTAATATAAGTCTTCATACCGTTGATGGTGTCCCTAAGTGTTAT